AAGTTTGCAACTTTGAACTCGATAGTAATACAGAGCTGATTGGGAAGATCGAAGAAACAATCTATTCCTAATCAGACTTACCTTGTGAGCAGATCCGTAAAATGGTCTGCTCCGATACCAAAACTGTTACATACTCGTGATTTATCAACGAGTATGGGCCAGAACCAAAGATCAACCAATATAGTACGAGTATGTATGCAACGGAAGTCTGATGAACGGACTGACTCACATAGACTGACTCACATAGATATCACTCCACACACATACAATCGTGAGATGGTGGGGTCTGAGCCATACATAGACGATGCTCAGCCCCGTACACACATACACAGATGAAGGTGGGAGGAGAGACGAAGGAGGTGGGAGATGAAGGTAACACCAGATGTCACCAAGATAGAAACCAGTAGGTCACCGATATGGTAATCCAAAATGTCATCGAACAAGATCGAAATGTCGAGGACAATAAGTCACCAATGTCGGAGATACAGAGTCCTAATGTAACCGGTGTCCAATCTGTGATGCAGCCGAGTATCATCCCCAACAATCTCCAAGTCTCAAACCCGGTAAGTACCACAGCCTCTTACTACCGAAGTCCAACACTGATCTCTGTCCAAATAGTATAAGTCTCCAGTCTGAAGAAGAAGAAGAAGAAGAAGAAGAAGAAGAAGAAGGAGAAGAAGAAGATGGAGTCTGAAGAAGAAGAAGAAGAAGAAGAAGAAGAAGAAGAAGAAGAAGAAGAAGAAGAAGAGGGGAGTCGAGGAATAGAGAGAGAGAGAGGGGACTGGCGACGAGAAGGAGGGAGAGAACATCCGGCTCCCGATACCTCAGGCGGCTATGGCCGCCGATATGCCCAGTCGCCGCTGCTGCTGCTCCGCTGGCTGCCGCTGCTGCGCTACCGCTGCTGCCGCTGCTCCTCGCACTCCTGCGCTAAGAATAGCGCTAGCGCTCTGGCGCTAACCATAACGCACCGCGTAGAATGCCGGTGGTTCGATGCCGGACTGAGGCTGGACCGGTACTCTTGTACCGGTGGGGCAGAGGCCGGCCTCTATGCTGCGAGGCCTGGCCGTGCCCTGAACCATCAAGATCGACGGTTCAGCCCCAACCGGCAGGCGGCAGCCTCAAGAGCGCCGCCAGGCCCAAACGGTAATGTCGTTTGGGCCTGCCCGTCGGGTCTGGTCCAAGATGAGGCCTTTACGGCCTGTAGTACCCCCAAGGTCGGGCCTTTAGGCCCTACTGTGTCCCTCTGGCCCTAAGTCGGGTCCGGTAGGACCCGTGTGGCGTCGAAGATGTAGCATGCACCCTCAGATCCAGACAGCAGGCAATAAGCGGCAGATGCATCAAGCCTCTTCTCAGTTCATATAACACAACGAGTGATATGGCAAACACACATCTTAGGCCTGCATCGTCTTGTTTAGACAGCTGCAATGGATGGCATACATCCATGACCGCAACGCGGTAAGTGGACAAGCAACCAAACGTGAGAAAAAAAAGCAATGACAATTTTCGACCTAGTTATCCGTGTTTCAACCACACATGTTGGTAGTGTGCACAACCATCAGAGAATTCATCAATTTGAGATTCCAGTATTTTTGGAAGAGCAGCTCAGTCCCTCCCGCAGAGAGTTCCCTAACTGAGGAGATCACAGAAATGTTATCAGCAGCCACAACAGGGATCGCGTAGAGCACAGCAGCAGGAAAGTACCTCTTCCTGGCCAGGTTCATCATACTGGGGCAGAATCCGTCGCTCCTGGTCTTCTTGACCTCCAAATCTGCACACACCCAGAAAAGAGACCAACAGCACAGCGATTTTCAAACCAAAGGGGAATGCATTAGGGCTCTTAGCTCACAGTCGCAAATGAAGCAACCAGCAACCAGAAAAGGTGATTACAATGCTAAATGTGGACAAATCGGCAATGACAGCAGGCACTCCACCTGCCACTATCACCAGCACAATGTATTCCACACACCAGATCATCAACCAGCACCGTGTACCTGAGCTCTCTCTCTCTCTCTCTCTCTCTCTCTCTCTCTCTCTCTCTCTCTCTCTCTCTCTCTCTCTCTCTCTCTCTCTCTCTCTCTTCTTTTTTTTGCCTATGCTACACTACAGCTGTGTCACCCTGCACCTGTTGACTCCAACCACTCTCAGCGTTACGTCCTGTCTCACTTGTCGCTTGGGCATACTACTGGGCCACAGAGCTACTGCAAGAAGCAAGGGACGGAATGAATGAATGTTGACGGCAACTGATTCTGTTCTTTTATACAACTATTCGGCTCCCCTTGGGCCTGTACGTCCGGTACCCACTAGCCTGCTAGTTTGGTGGGTCTGTCCGACTTTGTCATCCCTTCAGAATGTTAAATGTCTTTCATTCATGGGATCCCGGGCCGTTGACTGGACTGGACTCTCAAGAATTCCCGAGCCTCTCTCTCGAACGTCTCTTTTCCTGTTGGACCCTAAACTTCCGGAGCACTCTTCAGCCTATTTCTCTTTTCCTATAGGACCCTAAACTTCTGGAACTCTCTTTGGCATATATTTATCTTTTCCAACTTGCCCTCACTTTTCGTACATGGGACTGGTAGAGTGGACACACAGGCAATGCAGGGTGTGATGGTCTTCACAGTTTGTTCTCTTTTTTCTTCATCATCATCATCTTCTTCTTCTTCTTCTTCTTCTTCTTCTTCTTCTTCTTCTTCTTCTGTCTATTTATACCCTTGCATTAGATCTACAATACTCCACACCCACTGTAGGGGCAGGACGCTGCCGTCATTGCTACCGTCTTCATTTTTTTCTTGACAAATAAATCAGGAAGAGAGGAGTTGTTGCAAATACCTTTCTCGGCCTTTTGGCTAAGATCAAGTGCAGTATCTGTTCTGATCAGTTTAATATCTGATCCGTGGTCCATCGGACCACACGATATTAATTAATTTTTTTTTTCTGGGCTACGGAGGGGTCGTACAGGTAAGCTTGCTTGCTCGACCCCTTCATAAAAAAAAAAAAATAATAATAATAATAATAATAATAAAAAGGAAGAGAGGAGTTGTTGCAAATATGTAAATTATTCAAAGAATAGCAGCACACATTTTCAGTAAGGCATGAGAAGGTCATCACGCGCCGGATACTACAGTAGCAGCTTACACACTCACTTGTCATCATATATCCTCCGACTCTTCTTCGATGCCTTGTACAAAGCTTCTCGCGACTTCTGCTCCGCAATCTCTATGTTTTCCAGCTCATCCGCCTCTGAACGAGACACAAAAAGAGTTCAAATCATTCAGAACAAGTAGCTAGCCACACGTACACCGGCTGTAAGACACAATCCAAGACTGTCAGCGCAAACCCGTCTGCCCAATGTCCATCCTAGTAATGTCCCATTGTCTCAATGCCAAGGCCCTAATGTCCCAATGGACGGTCATCGTCTTTGCTGATGTTCGACTTGCACATGAAGTGTCAACTCTTGAGACACATTCTGTGATTCAGCAACATGGAGATCAGATGATAAAAGAAGGGTTCAGAAAGGGTGAAATCAGTCTTGCAAATTCACACTCAAACATGCATGCAACAGATGAGAATAACTTGGCGCTGTGCACCCAACTCAAACTCGGAGATATGGTAGCTTGCAACTCAACTCAAATCCAA